TCTCCTTCTGAGCCTGCTCCTCCTTTTCTTTCTTTTGCTTCTCCTTCCGGTCCTCCTTTTCTTTCTTTCGCTTCTCCTTCTGAGCCCGCTCCTCCTTTTCTTTCTTCCGCTGAGCCTGCTCCTCCTTTTCTTTCTTTTGCTTCTCTTCCTTTTCTTTCTTTTGCTTCTCTTCCTTGTCTTTCTTTTGCTTCTCCTCCTTCTTTGCCGTTTCTTGCTTCTTTGCATTCTCTTTCTTGTTGCCTCCATCCTTCTTCTTCGTTTCATTCTTGTCATCATCCTCTGCCTGGTTGGGTGTTTGGAATGTTGATTTCCACCAAACCCACCATCTCTTCATGGCTTGGATGGAGGCTTTGCTAAGCTCCCTATTTCTAGGACGGTTCACTCTAGACATACCAGGCGCTTTCTCAAAGATTCCGGGTTTCTCAAATTGCTTCCAGTATTCAATGTATGCGGATATTGCCTCCTCATCTGATGAAGAGCTTGCTTCTGCCTTTGTCTCAGCTTCTGCTTTCTTCCTTTTTTCATCCTGCAAAGCTGGTTTGTTTTAACCAAACAGACCACAGAATACCAACACACATATTGAAACCTGAACTGCTTGAGACTCTCATCAGGTAATTCCCAAAAGATAATTCCCCAAAGGTCCTTCAACTGCTTGAGAATTTCATCAGCTTTCTTAAGACCAGGCCCTTTATTCTCAGCCTCGATCTCATGGATTCTGTCCTCATCTTTAAAGGAAATAGCATGCTTGACCTTGAGGTTGCTACTCGATGACTCTTTGGAAGTCTTTCTCGGTGGGGGGGTCGTGTAAGCATCGTTCTGTTTGGCTTTAGTCGCAGCCTTCTTCAACGACTTGGGATCAGGGCTCCTGCCCCGGGGCGCAGATTTCGATCTGTGCCTGTGCGTTGGGGCTCCGGATGCACCTGGCATACTGACTGGGTAAGCACCTTGATAGGAACGAACGGCTTCAGTACGAACGAAGTCCTGAACTGTACATAAACTGCATCCTTACAGTTTGACATGAGTATTGTCAAATGCACTAACATCTAAAAGAGATACGCCTTTTCCATGGCAACTAGTCTGATCTAGATTGATGCTTTTCATCATGATCACTAATTGGCTGCCAGCTGAGTTGGCATCGAAGGACCTACCTTTTCAGAGCTCTCCGGGAACCCATAGCACAAATTCCGGGAATCCGGGAATCACACCACACATTTTCCGGGAATCCGGGAATCACACCAAACATTTTCCGAGAATCCGGGAATCACACCAAACATTTTCCGGGAATCCGGGAATAAGGACAACACATTTCCGGGAATCCGGGAATCCAACCCCAAAACTTTCACTTAGTTTTCACCTCTCCAGGATCCAGGAATTTTCCCGGGAATTCCCGGCTGATTCCCGGGAATTTCCCGGATTCCCGGATTTTGAAAATTATGTTTTTTTTGTTAACTTGGGTGAATTTGTGATTCCACAACACTATTCCCGACACATCCCGACAATATGTTAATCTTTATTGAGAGATTTGTGGTGAATCCAAGATTCTATGCTATATATCCTCATCTTCATGAAGTAGCTAGCTGATGAATGCCACATAAAGTTCCTCAATGTTATACTTATGAACTCATTCCCTCACGAAGCTCCGAACTCCAACCCTTCCCAACTCTAAGTTGCAAAGGCCATTGGCCCACGTGTGAATTGGGTGCTCTCATGCGCGTAAAGCCTGCACCACATCGAGCAGGCGAGCATCCTCAGCCCATTTGCCATCCTGCAGCAGGATGGGCTCTGACGGTTTGGGGGCAGCTAGGGGACATGCTATGCACATGACTCTGGATGTCTCAATCCTGTGTTGAATACCTTTCCCAACATATGGACATAGCAAAGTAACTAGGTCTCTATTTGGTCGGTCCTTCATGGGCTTCACAGGCTTTGGAAGATCGCTAAGCTCTTTCCTCGGGACACAAACAGACATCACATGAATGTTGGAAGGTGTGTGCCTTTCATCCCTATCTTTCGATCTCAAGATGGAATTCTACTTTTGATCTCAGGCAGACCTCTGTCTGTAGATGCACTTCATGTTTTTCCAATGGGAGCACGGTTGAAGCCAGGTGGCGCTCTTTGCTTCACCTCCTTCTTGATGGTCGATGCATGGCGCTCATACGCCTGGGCCACAGCGTGGCCGAACAACTTCGGGTAGTACTGGCTTGCCTTCAGGTCAGATCCTCCTGATACTCTTTGGACACCTTGCGGGCCCACATACCTCAGATTGAGATAGTGTAGCGGATGAACCAAGAGGGGCATGACTTCTAATATCTTCTAATGTCAAATGCATGACTTTTTAACTTGGTCAAGCTCTGGATTACCAGAACAGTTGCCTGATATTGACACCACCAGTCCTCAAAGGCCAAACAAAAGCCGCGGCACTTGTTCGCCATTGCAGCCGGCCAGTCCATGTTTTTCGGCAGTGGCAAGTACAACTCCAGCACGAACCGGTAATTGCTGTAGAGAATGGTGGGCTTCGGGCCTGTCGGCGTGAGAACACCCCAGAACACCAACCACAAGAATGCCCAACCACCTGTATAGATAGACAGATAGACAGATAGATAGATAATAGATAGACAGATAGATAGATAGATCAATAGATAGATTAGAGAGATACCACAGGAGCATGAGCATGACTGTTTGCTGCCAAGTCACTTCCACCTCCGTATGCACCGATCCAGCAGAATGCCTAGCGCGCAAGACTTCCACAAGTTGAGGGGTGACTTGTATGGAGGTGCCACTGTTTTTTGGGTCTGTTACAATTATAACTACTACTTTGCTTCCTGTCAACCTCTCTTGGGTGGCTAGGGATCACTTAAGCAGCCAAAGTGCACGGTAGACGGTGTATCGCTTGCACAGGAGCTGGAAGTAGGGATGGTACTCAAAGAGGGAGCTGCCGGGCTGCTCGACAATCCAGGGTACACAAAGCTCTTGGCACACCATGAGGCATATGCAAAGCCGGGTCACCATTATGTTCCTCAGATTGCCACTCAAGAGAATGGTGACGTGACCGTTTTGAGGCCCCTATAGATAGACAGATAGATAGATAATAGATAGACAGACAGACAGACAGATAGATAGATAGATAGATCAATATACAACAACCCCAGATAGATAGATAGATAGATACGTAGTAATAGATAGATAGATAGATACATAGATAGATAGATAGATAGATAGATAGGTCGACAAATAGATAGACAAATAGATAGATAGATAGATAGGTAGTATAGTAGTAGCTGTACTAGTAGGATGATGTTCATCCTTTGTTTTTCACGCATCGCTTGAGGTTGGCAAACTGGCTTCCTGGCCACGTCGCCTGGAGCCTCAACACTTACGGCTTGCGGTCACCACCACAAATAAGCTAAGCCCGAATGAAGGTTGGCGCAGACTCATCTCTGGATCAACACAGCTTTAACATTCAGACCAATAAGTGGTTTTGTTTAGAGAAAGATTCACCATCCTTGAAGAACCCCAAATGACTGGCGTTCGAATCGCATCAGTCACGCGCCCCTGAAGACCCTGAAGCTCCACTGTCGACCTTCAAGATTTTGGCAACTTTCTCCCAAGTGCCCTTGATGTCCTTGAGGAAGGAAATCCTTGGGTCAACGGTCAACGGTCAAAGATGGACGATGGTACATGAGCCCCCACTCCTAGCCCCGACGTTTTCTACTTTCAACCACGCCAGAAGGCCCACAAGTCTCCCGCATTAGGCATCCATGCTTTGGCATTTCAACCCAAGAGTCGATCGGCCATCTTCCCCAATCACTTTCTTTCCATCCACATCAGACTTGGGCTTGAAAGCGTGCTGTCTCAGCAGCACCTCCACCCTCGCATCGCCCATCCACCTGGGAGGAAGAGCCCTAACTCCTACTCTACCATTGGATCGAAAGTCCTGCCCCAATAGACATGTAGGGGACCCTAACAATACTAATATACAACAAACCCTTGAACAACTGAACAATACTTTGTGTGTGGCAAGGCACACAGTGTAGCTGTGCTGGCCATGTTTGCTATTCGTGGGCCACGCACATGGGGGCAAAGTCTTGATGAGATTCTGATAACCCTCCTCGAAGCTGGCCAAGACATCAGCCATCTGGGCTGCTCTGTCCTGAGGCGCGTCAAGCTCAGCGCGTGCCTGCTTCGCATTCCTCTTCGACGAGGACCGCTTGGACGCAGTCGACTTTCGCTTGCTCTTGGATCGGTCAGGCGGAGCCCACCCAACAGGTAAGGGGTCCAAAGTAGCAAGAGCTGCGTCGAAGCCGTCTGGGTCCTACAGGGCCACTACAGGAACATATGGAGTCTAAGTCTAATTGCTAACTTTCTTTGTTCACGAAGATTTGATCTGAGGAAAGGGTTGGGAATTCAAAGCAACCTGGTATCAACCCCTTTCCTCCATGCTCATTTTTGCAGGGGCGGATTCCTCTTTGTTCCCCATTTCCCTCTTGTCATCAGCAACAGGATCACAGGCCTCGCTGTCGCCAACCCCTTCAGATAAGTCTGAAGCAGCATCCACAACAGCACCTGGGCTAGTGTGGTTGCCCTCATCTGATGGCCAAATCCCACTGCTGCAATCGCTCCCTGAGAGCGCAGCCACCTGGAGGGACCAACACTGGCTGAAAGGGATACCCCAACCACTCAAGGTTTGACCCTCAAAGGCATAGTTGGCAGTCAACAAATGTTGAGCAACTCCTTTCCAAACATTAGAACCCTTTGCCTGTGAATCACATGGTGCCGGAACTGGTTGAGACAAGGGTGGTTCAGAGCCATCATAGTCCGGGTCGACCGGGCACTCTCCCAATAGATTCTCTGGAATACAATCGGAAGAGTCATCGCTGCTGTCACCCAATCTATCGGTCTCAGCATCTAACTCGACAGGGTTAGGCTCCCGAGGATCTGGTCTCACATTCGATTGGTCGGGGTTGCTTGACAAAGCAGCTGCGTTCCTCATCTTGTCCTTCAGAAGCTGCACCCAGGATGCGCGAGAAGAGTGCTTGCTGTTCTGCCAAAGCCTGTCCCAACAAGGACATCATGTACATGTTCATGGTGGTTTTTGTTTATGGTATGGACGTTTGTTTCCAGCACCAACTCTAGGATACAAAACACCTCACGCAAATGTTCATTGTTGTTTTGTTGATTTGATATGGATGGCTGTTTCCATCACCTACCTGTGAACCTCTGCGAGCCTTCGCAGTCCAGACCACATTTTTTGGATCTTCTAGATGTTCATCTTCATCATGTCAGAGACATCCTTGGCTTTTTGGAGAACCGAGAGGTCCAGAGTCTAGAACCAACACAGGCTCTCAACCGGTCAACCTGTCTTGGAAGTTTTAGTGACTGTGTACTCAGAAGCTGTTTTATAATTGCTGCTGAAGTGCAAATTCATCATTGGCACGGATAGCCAGGTTCTGCGGTGCAAATCGAACACTGATACTGATACTGGTTTTGTTTTCGGACACATTTAGCAAATCACTACTTTGTTTGTGTTCTGGGTGTTTTGACAGGCTCCTGGAACTGAGCATTGAAGGAATCCAGAATAATCTCCAGCTCTGCGTGGGATGGCTTTCGACAACAAAACTCTTCCATCGCCAAGATGGAATGAATTGCCCAGTAGTTCCGGATCCTCATGAACTTGTTTGTGAACAGAACCCTCTTGACTTGGCATCCTAAAGGGGCTGAGTACATTTCACACAGTCAATGCAAAATAGAGCTGCCAAGTTGAAATTGACGCTCCTTCGTTTTCTTCACGAACCGGCCGGTCAAGAGGTCTGCCGTGGGCTCCACACCATATGGAGTAATGGCTTCTCGCTTAGTGCGCTCAGGGACCGCTTTGGCCATCTCTATCCCCAAATGTTGAAGAGCCCGAACAAACATTTCCTCTCCATGGAGGGGAGTGACGGCCTCCCAGAAAAAGTACGCGTCGTTGGATTGATGCGACTCGCTAGGAGACGAAGGGTCAGAAGCAGCTTCTGACATGGTGCTACGAAGGGTGCCTTGAGTGTCTTGGGCCTTGAAAGAAAGCCTGCATGGCACAAGAAGGGTTCAGAATGAGTGTGAATAAGAGTTTGTCTTTCAAACCGTGTCTCACTGGACTTGGAACATTGGAGCCTCCAGGCCGCTTCCCAATCCATGCTACCAAGCATCGCAATCCTCACCGATTCAACTGAGGTATCACCATATCCGCGCGGGCATGGGCAAGATGAGGGTCGCCAAATTGTTTGTTAGCTTTCCAACAACACTCCCCTTTGAGATCCTCAAGTGAACTTGCTAAAGTGTTGAAAAGGTGAACTTGCTTTGAAGGCTTCGATCCTCAAGTGAAAGGTCCGCTTCAAACAACAGGCCAAGCCACCGATTCAACCATACCCATGTGCTGCACACCGGAGCGGCCCAAAGGCAGCCACCCTTGGAACACAAAGCCCAGAGAACAGCGCTGTTTTTCCCATTGTGTTCTTAATAAATAGCCAGTTTCCCAACACCCTTCTTACATGCAGCTGCGATTCACCGTTTCACTGCGTTTCAATTGCGGCTGCAGCCTAGGCACCTGTCTGCAAACCCTGGCCATGAGGCCCAACGCATAGGCAAATCCAATTCCTCACAAGAGTATAGCCATCTCACCCAACAAAGCATGGAGCTTCCCCTATACCAGCTTTCATTTTCAATTGTTCTTCAATGCAATTGTTCATCATTTGGAAGCTCCTGACATGAAGTTCTCCAATGGACTATCATCCAGCTCGAAGCTGGCAGCGCTGTAGCCGCAAGCCCTGCGATTCACATGCAGTGCTAGTTGTGGTTGCAAGAGCTTTGCTGTTCACATTTGTTCACAAAAGATCACATAACCCTGCCTGAAGCCTCCACAAATGCTTTTGCACCCAGCGAAGAGCTCGGCGCACCCCAAAGTCTTGGATGCGAAAAGGTTTGGATGATTTTGGATGGGTGACTGGTTTCCTTTCGAATGCAGTTCGAAAGCTCCATGGATCTTGACCACATATATATATATACATATAAATAGTTTTTGTTTGTGATTGAATAGCTGGAAGCTTTACGAATATGACTTATATATGGGTTTGTCTTGGAACATTTGGAAACTGCAATGTGTATACATATATACCGTGTGTATGTAGGTATGTACCATGTGTAGCCGATATCAACTAGTACTGCAAGCCTAGAAACCACACTCGGCTGGGTCATGCTCCTGAACACCATATCCAGAAGGGTCAGGATGACAAAGGGCACACCGGCATTGGCCAAATTTTTCAGCCTTGGATGGAGGGGGGTGGGTTTGACAACAGCTAGTTGGACGGTGACCCCTTTTTTGTAGAATGCTGCGGAACCATTCAACGCAAATACGCATGCTGAGAAACATCGCTGAAAGCCCCGGGTGCAAACCATCTCCAGTCACTGTGAAGTGCTTGATCTTTCCAGGGACCACCGAAACCTTAGCACGCACCTTCCTTGTTCGAAGGCTGCGGTCGGGCTTCAACACATTCACAACCATGGCGGGTAGTGAGGATCGACCGGCTGGAGCAAAAACACAAAAATGGCTGCAACGGTCCGTGCAGCTTCACCACACTTCAGAATGCACTGCAGATCAACTTCAAACCAACGATCACTTGTGCTTGGGCGAACATGGACGAACTCTGGTAGCGGAGGTCATCGGAGGTCGCACCTGCTTCTAGCAGCTTCGAAGAGGATCAGGCTCATGCATGGCCGCCCATGCAAGCCCCGCGTTCAAAAAAAGTAAAGCGTGTGTATAAGTGCAGTGAACACACGCCTGCATTGCATGATTGTGGACCTGTGCACCGATCGACCTGCCTACCCTATATGCAGCTATAGGCAACCAATTGCAAAACCATATGCAAAGGACTTGACTAACACAGAGTGGTGCTGCGCGAAGGTCTGAGCCTGTGGGCACTTAAGCCCCTAAAGCAAAACACGCAGGCAGTATGACTCTGAGATACAAGACCTCCAAAAGAATAGAATGCACCCTTTCGATTGCTTGGCCAGATTTACACCAAGATGTTTGAAGAACAAGCGGGGTCCATGGGTTGACCTCCTGAATTTTCTTAGAAAAATGAATTTGCACTGGCCCTGCGGTGGAAACTGAACACATTGAAGTGCTTGCATGGAGAGGCTTGAAAGCAAAGAGCGATTTCCACGAACACCGATCGATCAACACGTACGTGCGCGTGTGTTAAAAAAGTAAAAAAATATGAAAACTTCCGAGTTACGGATGTCCTTTTTCAATGTAAGCGTGCTTCCATGGCTGAGCTTTTGAGGCGTGAGAAGGCTTATCTTAGCTAAAGGCCTATGTAAGCCATCATCTATAGCCAGCATAGCAGTCCATATCATGAAAGCTCAAAGGACAACACTCTCGGCAGACCAGGGAGGCCCGCCGCGTTCACCAATCGTAGGAGAGGTATACAGGGGCACGGCGAGGGCTTGAACCTAAGGTGATATGCCGGTAGAAGGGAATTGGGAAACAATGAGGGAGGGACATGGGCGGTGGATCAAATGCGGGCTTTTCCTGGGGTCCATGGATCACTGCAAAATCGTGAGACTGTCGAAATTAGCCGGTAAAATTCGTCTCACTAGGAACCACCTGAAAGTCCGAAGCTGGAGCACTTGTACTTGGTGGAGTCGGGGAGATAGTCAGCTCTGGATGGAGATCAGCATGAGATTGATGGACAGGAGCAGCCTCGGATGATACATCATGGACTGGATCTGGACGAGGTCCTTCGGTAGGGTGGGAGTCTGCAGCCCTAAACAGATCTTCCGGCAAAGGTGGATCAGGTGCTTGATGGCCGGATTCGACATGATCGGCTGGTGGTGAATCTGCGTGGTCTGGATGGTCTGTATTCAGAGTATCTTGGATGGATAGAATCTCTTCCCAGCGTGCCTTGCATTGAGCAGGGGTGCACTGAAGCTTCTTGGCGATAAAGTTCCAACTGTGGTGTTGGTCTTCATGTCGATGAGTTGTTCCTCTTGCCATGGTTCCCATGAGTCCCAGTCTTCAATGAGTTCTTGACAAAGTTGAAGGCGTCGTCTGGCTGGCGCGGGGGGTGGTGTCGTGGTGCGGGACTTGGTCTTGGCTTTGGCTTTGGCAGGGCAGGAGGTGCGTGGCCGTTTGGACGGTGGTGGAGGGGCTGGTGCTGAGGAGCAATCACTGTCACTGTCTTCCAGGGATGATGGGATGCGAGGGACATGGGGGGTGAATAGGAGTGACTGGGTCATCTTCAGTGGTGGAAGCACCAAGCTGGGCTGGGGCTGCAATTGGTCGCAGATTCCCACTGAAATGGATGGGGGGTCGAGTGGGGGGGAAGGGGAGGTGGGTGGGTTCGTGTGTTCAATGGATGGAGGACTGGAGGTGACTCGTAGAGGGACCAAACGGTGGCTGTGCACGAAGAAGATCATGAATCTCATCCAGTGAGGAGGCCGCTAGGCGCAAAGTTGAGGCCATATGGGAAACACAGTGAGCAATACGGTCACATTGTGGATGAGGGCCGGGCAACGTGGAACGGGTGACCATGGCGCAACGAGCAAAGTGGTACACAAGGGGGAATTTGAATCGAAATCAAACACTGAGGTCTGCAAAAACGAGGGCCGACATAATGGGGGGGAATCGGTGTGGTTCATGCGAAGGTGGGCGTACTCATAAGGCCAAATGAAAATCTTTCTTCTCAGGTGTTGGGGGGTTGGAAGATGGAAATGGGAAACCTTCAAAGTGGAAAAACAAGCATGCAGGTCGGCAGCATAGTCTTTTTTCAGCCGGCGGTGGAGGATCACAAAAAGGACTGAGGGGGTGTCGCTTGACATTCCCAGGCTATGCCACAGATCACACAATTGTCCGGGTGTATGATATAGCACTTGCCTTTGTCCTGCTTGACGACGCCGTGATGGGCCGCGAGCAACTTTTCTCCTTCTTGTTGTTCGCCGCCCTGAGTGAACTTTTTGCCGGCGCCCCAAGCCATGCAATGAAGAATGATGCCGGCTTTGATCTTTGGCATTTGGCAATTTTTGTCAATGACTCGAGCTGTGCGCCAGGCGTCGTAGATCAACTTGCCGGTAGTTTCATAGCCTTGAGCGTAGAAACCTTGGGTGGTAGGTGAGTGGTTGGTGCTGGGTTTGAAGCGCCCCGACTGTAGCAAGTTCAGGAGGTTGCCTTCCTCAGTGGCGTGACACGCAAACACATGGACTGTACCGTGTTGAGTATCAGTCTGGTTGCGGCGATGGAGGATGTGTTCGACTCGCTGTTTGTGCTGGAGGCGGGGGATGTAGAGGGAAAAATATGGTGTGGACTTGTAACCGTTGATGGCGTCGTCCCAGTCGGAATGGATCCATTGATCAAGCGCTTCTAAGTCCTTTGCAAAGATGCCTGCGTTGGTGAGGATCCTGGCCACGTAGCGGAGCATAGGAGTGTTGCGTTCCGCAAGCTGATCGCACTGATGATGTAGGTAGCGCAAAATGCAATTGAAAGTGTCCCTGCCATAGATGTGACTGGCATGGTCGTGGTCTGCTGAAGTGTAGGGGTTGTAAGGACGGCGATGTGGTTCGGTGGCGGTGGCACTGGTGGCAACATGGATGCCCTTAGGTCGTGAGGTGGTGGCTGGATCACGGGTAGAACCGGAGGGACGATCATCCGAATGTTGGGGATTGGGGGTGAGTGGTGTTGGTGCCGGTGGTGGTGCAGCTGGTGGACCGTGATGTGAAGTGGTGGTGGTCGTGTAGTGGCAGTAGCCAGTGGGGAAGGGTTCGCCGGTGAGGCTGATGTATTCGTGGTGCTCGTTGGCAGTGTGGCTGTGGTGCCTGTGCTCGGTGGGTGAGCCGGTGGTGGTACGGTGGTGGCTGTGGTGTCCGGTGTTGGAGTAGTCGTTGGTGGAGTGGATGCTGGAATGCAAGGGTGGGCCGTCGCCTGTCTGAAATGTGCTGAGAAGGGTCAATGGGAGCTACCTGTTGCACGACTTGCTGCGGGTGCGGTGGCCAAAATGTCAATGGGGCGAC